AGCCGCGGACGCCGCCCGCCGGGCCCGGCGCCGCGCCGCCGGAGACGCCGCGCGATATCGCCGCGTCGTCCGCGTCCTCCTTGCGGAGCCGCGCGTCGACGTTGTACTCCTTCTCGAGGCGGAGCTCGAGCTCGCGGACGCGGAACTCGGCCTTCTCCCCCGCGGCCTGCTTCTCCTTGGCCAGGAGCTCGTTCTTCGCCGCGAGCGACGCCTGGTCCGCGACCGTCTCCTCCATCTTCGCCTCGACCTCGGCCATGAGCTCGCCCGCCTGCACCAAGAGCGTCTCCTTCTCGTGGAGCAGGTTCGTCAGGTCCCGCGCCTCCTTGGCGCAGCGCTTCGACTCGGCCCGCTCCTCGGCGAGCTCCTCCGTGAGCGACGCGATCTTCTGCTGGAGGTCCAAAATCTGCGCGACGGATTCCGCGTCGCCGGCGCCGCCGCCGGCGCCCGCGGGCGCCGCGGCGCCCGCGCCGGAGCCGTCGCCGACCTGGAGCTCGAGGGCCGCGATGTAGGTCGACTGCATGTCGATGGCGGCCTCGGCCTTGTGGAGCAGCGCCGTGAGCTCCTCGACGGACTTGCGCTCGTTGACCTTGGGCTTGTTCTTGACGGCCTTGGCGCGCTGGCCGAAGCGCAGCGTCGACAGCGTCTCGAAGGAGTTCTCCGTCGACGCGCTGCAGGCGACGATCAACGCCGTCTTCGCGTTGCCGCCGAGCGAGTCCTGGAGCATGCGCGTGAGCTTGGAATCGCGGTAGGGCACGTGCGCCTTCTTGTCGTCCGTGAGCGCGTTGATGACTTGGCCCAGGGCGCTCAGCGACTTGTTGATGGTCTTGGCCTCCTCGAGCTGCTGGCCCGCGGCGTGCGTCTTCCGCACCATCTCCGACCCCGCCAAATCCACGAGCACCAATTTGCCGACGCGCGTCGCGTCCGTCTCCGTGTTCTTCTGCTGCACGGTGCAACTCAGCACGGAGTGGGACCGGCTCGAGCCCTCGTTCATGCCCGTCGCCGCCGTCGCGCGGCTCCGGTGGCCGAGGTGCATGCATTTGAGTAGTTCGGACTCGCACGTGACGAACGTCTCCGTGCAGCCCGCGACGTAGATGCCGGAGTTGGGGTCCTCGCGGATCTGCAGGTTCGTCTTCTTCTGGCCGAAGGTGTCGAGCAGGTCCCGGATGCGCTCGAGGTAGATCTCGACGAAGCTCACCTTGATCGCGAACTCGATCTCGCCCGGCGCCTCGGCGACGCCCGCGAAGAGCGCGGCCGCGGCCCGCGGGATGATGCCCCGCGTGACGGGGTCCCCGATGTCCGCGCCCTCCATGGTGTGCGTCTTCCCGCTCGCCGTCTGGCCGTAGGCGAAGATCGTCGCGTTGTAGCCGCCGAGCACCGAGTTCACGCTGTCGCTGACGCGGACGCCGTCGAAGACCTGCTGCTGCGTCGCGTCGAGGTCGAAGACCTTGTCGAAGGCGAAGTTGTGGACCTCGCCGGCGTGGGTCAGGGCCGCGCGGGACCCGTCGGTCGTGATCGTCACGACGCCGCCGTGGTCCGTGTCGCGCTTCGACAGCGGCCGGATGCGGCAGTAGACGCTCACGTTCGCGTTGTCCTTGGCCGCCGGCGCCTTTCTCGCCGACATGGCGCGACGCGCGGGCCCGCTCACCGGGCGCCGGAGGCCGGGAACGCCGCGGCGGCCGAGGACCACCACCAGGCTGCCCGCCGCCGACGACAAACTTCAAAAAAAAAAAAGCATTTATTTTTTCATCATCCGGATCCCCGGCGCGGGCGCTCTGGAGACCGGGGGGCAATACGATTCAAGCACGACTTTGGAACGAGTGGCTCTGAGCTTTTGTCCGAAGCCCTTCATTATTTTTGTTGCAGAGATACTTTTGAACGAGTGGCTCTGGGGCGTCGCCCCAGGTCCGAAAATGCATCAAAAGTGCTGCAACAAAAATCGGGTGGCCAGGAAACTTTGCCCCGACGTCTCTCGGACAATAAGATCTTGTTTGAATGGTGTTGCCCCCCGGTCTGGATCTCTCTGGGCGGAGAAGCTCAGTATTAAGCAGAGACGAGATGCGATGCATATGCCGTCCGGCGCGCACCGCGGCGCCGGTCCGTGCCGGGAGAGGGGCGACCGGCCGTCAGCCGAGCATGGCCTCGAACCAGGCCGCGTTGTCGCGGACGAGGAAGGACGTGTAGGAGAGGAGCAGGAGCGCCTGCTCGCCGGAGAGGGACATCTGCGTGAACGTGTCGTAGGCGGGGAAGTTGGCGAAGCCGCCCTTGCCGTCGGCCGCGTCGGCGACGGCCTGCTTGACGTCCTCGTTCGCGAGCGCGGCGACGAAATTCGCCGCGACGGTCGGGATCGCGAACATGCAGAAGCCGAGGCGCACGGCGCGGCCGCCGACGACGCCGTGGGCCGCGTTCGCGACCGTCTCCAGCGTCGCGTCGGCGATGGCGCCGCCGCCCGCGGCGAGGCTGTCCTGGAGCTGCGCGGCGAACGCCGGGAAGTCCTCGGGCCGGAAGACCTGTGTGGAAATCAAATCTTCAATATGACTTCAATGTGTGCGTATTTGAAAGGTTCGACGCAAGCTCTTCGGCTTTGCTTCGAGAACTCGACGAGAGCGATCGATCCGTCCAAAAATCAGCCGAATCGACTTCGATTTGGCCGAGCTAGAGAGGTTTGAAGTTTTGCTGGACGCGTCCATTCCACTGGTTGATTTCCACACAGCGGAAGACCTGGATCGAGGAGTAGTCCGTGCCCACGGCGACGTCGATGACCGACGGCGCGTCCTCGACGAAGATGCCGAAGAGCGCGGGGATGTTCGCGTCGATGTCCGACGCGGTGGGCGCGCGCGCGGCCGGGTCCCACCTGGGCAGGACAAGAGTGCGAAATTCCCAACTTCAAAGGCTCCTCTCTCGGCCATTTTCCACTCGTTTCGGCTGATTTTTGGACGAGCGATCATCTCTCGGAGCGCTCTCGAAGCGTGGGTGCTGTTTCCGAAACGCGCGCGCGCGGAACACTCACGTTGAAGCGACGTTGAATCACTCTTGTCCTGCCCCGGGTCCCACGCGGCGCGGTCCGCCAAGGGCGTCAGCGTGTTCGCGAAGACGACGACGCGCTCGAGCCCGCGCTGGAGCAACGGGATGAGGCCGTTGTTCTCCAGCACGCCGCCGTCGCCCGTGTAGAAGAGCCGCGCGGACTCGGCCGGCGCGTCCGGCGCGTAGGCGTACTCCTCGCTCAGCGTGACGCCTAAAAGCTCCGGCGACTCGTTCGCGAACCACGCCGCGGGCGCCATGGAGCTCATGGCCGCGGCGCGCTGCACCGTCGCGCCGTCCTTGGGCGCGAGCACCGCGAGCTCGCCGCTGCGCTGGCCCGGCGCGAGGGACCCGTTGCGCAGCGGGACGTCCGCGCCGTAGGCGTAGGCCGAGAAGAGGCCGCCGACGCGGACCGCGTCCGTCGCGGTGACGCAGTGGTCGTCGTCGTCGCAGCCGTCCTGCGAGTTGTAGGTCACGGTCGACGTGTAGGGGTTGCCGCTGTAGATGGGCGTGTGCTGGACGATCGTGAAGGACCGGTTGTGCCGCGCGTAGGGGGACAGGGCCACGGGCCCGAGCAGCGTCCCCGACGAGATGGGGAAGGGCACCGCGTCGAGGCGCCGCGGCCAGACGAAGGGGTAGGCCGCGAGGTTCGGCGACCGCGCGCGCGCGTCCTCCGCGGCCTTGGCGCTCAGCGCCGCGCGGCTCTTGGACGCGATCCCCCGCGGCCGGAAGATGGCCTCGTCGACGACCTCCTCCCAGACCGTGCTGAAGAGCTCCTCCTTGTCGAAGATGTCGCCCGCGGCCTTGGCCACGACCTCGCCGATGAAGTTGTAGGTCGTCGCGTCGGCCATGCAGCCCGCGGGCAGGTCCGCGAGGTACTCCAGCGTCAGGTTCGAGGGGGGCGCGTAGGGGCCTGGGCAGGAACACGGTGATTCGACGTCGCGAAGAAATACGTCCGCTTCGAGACCGTTCCGAGCGACGATTGCGAGTGTTCCGCGCGCGCGCGTTCCGGAAAAAAACACGTACGCTTCGAGAGACGATCGCTCGTCCAAAGATCAGCCGAAACGAAACCGGCCGAGAGAGACGTCGGGCATGTCGCGCCCCGTTCCCGCCCCGGTGGGGGCAGAGCAGCGCGGCCTCGTCGTCGCTCTGGTCGTAGGCGAGCGCGGAGACGAACCACGACCCGCCCGAGACGCCGGACATGTACTTGATCTTCGACAGCAGGCCGAGGGCCTCGAGGGCCTGGGCGACGCCCACGGACGCCGCGTAGGACCGCGTGCCGCCGCCGGAGAAGGCGACGCCGACGGACGGCTTCGAGGCGACGGCCTCGACGTCGTCCTCGGGCCAGGCGTAGGCCGTGCCCGCGTTCTGCCAGACCTGCGCGCGCGGCGTCCGGGAGGACTTCGGGGGGGACGCCGCGCGGCGCCGTCGCGTTGAGCTCGAAGGACGCGGAGCATTTTTTGAAGTCGATGTCGGCCGAGTCGTCGTGGTCGCAGAGGCTCGCGACGCCGCGCGACGCGCAGCAGGCCGTGGCGCAGGAGTCGAGCGGGCTGTCGACCTCGTGGCACGAGTCCGTCGACGCGCAGTACTCGCAGACGTGCCTACGGGAGGGCGGGTCGCTTTTCTCGCGGGATCTGGCGCCGGGCGTCCTCGCAGCTCCGCGCGCGTGTGATCCAGGCACGCCTCGGCCGACTCGATGTCCTCGCAGGTCGCGGCGCCCGGCGTGTTCTCGCAGCGCTCGACGTCGAGGTCGCTCGCGTTCTTCGCGTCGCACGTGCTCAGCGGCGACTTCGACGCGCAGCACTTGTCCGCGCACGTGTTGAAGTAGGAGTCGACCTCGTGGCAGACCTGCGGCGCGACTCACGTGCTCAGCGGCGACAGGGACGCGCAGCACTTGTCCGCGCGGGCCACGCACCTGCTCCGAGGCGCACCACTCGCACGTGTGGACGCCGAGCGCCTCGTGGTCCGTGCAGTTCGTCGCGCCTTTGATGTCCTGGCACCTGACACGTGCATCATTATGTGTGTTAGCCGCGGCGCAGGGAGGAATCGAAGGGAGGGAGGATCAAAGGGAAGGGCTAGGGTAGTGGAGCATTATGTGTCGGCCGCGGCGCGGGACGCCGGCGCGGCGCCCGAAGAGGACCCCGGCCGCGCGGGCTGCCAGGCAGGCGACGATGCACGTCCTCATCGTGGGCACGATCCGACCACACGTCTTATCGAATTCTTATCGAGGAGTGTGGGCACCTCAAGATGGCAGCACTCACAAAAACTCGTGCTACATTGAACGTAACGTCCAGACTTCAAGGTTGGGAAGATGCACTTTTTGGGCTTCGAGCGGCCGGGCCGGGGGCGCGCCGATGGGCGCAGATGGGCGCGGATGGGCGCGCTGAGGCGGTCTTCGCGGAGAGACGAGTGGTCCCGCGTCGCCGCCTCCGCCCGGCGGGACTTCGACGAGGACGTCGACGTCGACGCCGGGGCGCCCCGCATGGCCGAAGGCACTGCGCGCCGCCTCCCCCGCAAAAGACGTGGACTAGGTCCGGTTTAGCCTGGCCGCGCCGCCCGCCGGCGGGCGCGGCCCCGCGCGCGCGGCCGCGCGCCTAGTGGCCGAAGGCCTCGAGGACGTCGGCGACCTTGGAGAGGTCGGCGGCGGCCGTGGCCTTGGCCTTGAGGGCCGTGGCGCTCTTCTTGGCCGCGTAGAACTCCGCGGACCGCGCGACGCGCTTCTCCTCCATCTTCGCGATGAGCGCCTCGTGCTTCCAGCCGAACTCGGACGCGAGGCGCGCGAGGACCGTGAAGCGGCGCCCGGGCTTGAGGCGGAGGACCTTGAGGGCCTCGGGGACGACCATCTTCTTCATCTTGTCGTAGGGCGGCGGCACGCCCTCGAAGCACTGGAGCCGCGCGAGCGCCTGCTGCCCGCGGTGCGTCTTGTGCGGCAGCATGCCGCGCACCGTGCGCCAGAGCATGCGCGCCGGCGAGCGGTAGTGGATGGGGCCCCGCTTCGGGTTCGTGTTCGTGCGCTTCTTGAGGAACGCCGTGAACTTGACCTTGTTGCGCACGAGCGACCCGGACACGCAGAGCTGCTCGCAGCGCACGACGACGACCTTCTGGCCGCAGAGCAGCTCCTTGGCGATGATGCTCGCCAGGCGGCCGAGCATGTGCGTCCGGCCGTCCACGAGGACGCTGTCCTGGAAGACCATGGTGGCTGACCTAAACGGGGGTTCGGGCGGTACGGCGTCCGGCGTTCCGGCGCGTCCGCGCGAAAGGGCAAGGGGGGCGGGGCGGGGCGTCCGCCGCGACCGCCGCCGCCGCGCCGACGTCGAACCGATGAAGCGCAGCAAACGCCCGCGACCGCGTCCCCTCCGTTCCCGGCGCGACGCTCCCGCGGAGGAGGTCGTCGGCGCCGAGGCGATCGGCGACGGCGAATCGGCGCGGCGTGCTGCGCAGCTCGTCGGCACCGTCGTCGGGCGGGTTTTCGGTCGCGGCAGGACGTCACCAAATCAATCTCTTCGCGCGTGTAGCGTTCGTATGGACGCGGCCGCGGCACGGTGTCGCTCGACGAGCTCGGCAGCGACGGTCTCTGGGCCTCGCCGATCCCTAGCCGGGGGTCGGTGCGACGATGCCTAAACCGGGGGTCGCGAGGCCATGCACAATGACGCCAAGACCCCATGTCGCAGTGAGGAAGCCGACTGCTGCGCGATCCTGCTCCGTCCGGCGTGTGTCCCCGGTGAAGAACAGGCTGCCCGCCTCCTGGGCTTCGTGCAATTGCGAGAGTCTCGCGTCGACGCGGCCGCGCGCGTGTTTTGCCGAGTCGCCGATCCTCAAGCTCAACCGGCCCGACCACGTTCGTAGCGTTGGGGCCTCGCTCCCTCTTCTCGCAAGGCGGACGCACTCGTTCGCTCATGACGACTGGCGATGAAGGGCTCCGGGTGAAATCGAAACGACGGGCTTCGCAAACACCCCGGCCATGCCTACGTCCAGGCCAGCTCATCAGAGTCCTCGATCTCCCGGCCTACAACCTCGACGCGACGTCACAGCGTGCAGCAGCGTCCACCGCGCGCGCGCGCCCCGCCAACGCCACCTTGCCAGTCAGGCACCGCCTCCCCCTGCGTGCCGAGAGAACGCATCAAGAGAGCTAAAGAACTCTCTGTTTATCCTTTCCCGCAATGCCACCGCTTCAACCACTCGATCCACAGGCCAAAACACACCATGAAGGCCGTCCTCGCCCTCGCCCTCCTCGCCCCGGCCAGCGCCCTCCGCGGCGGCGCCCGCGCGCCCATGCGCGTGTCCATGGACTACGTCAACCCCACGGGCTCCGGCGGCGGCGGCGCCGCGACGGCGTCCACGAGCGACAAAGCCACGATTCTCACCGAGAGCCCGGCGGGCAAGAAGCAGGACTTCCTCGAGGCGTCGCCCTACTGGGACCAGTCCACGGTCCCCGTGAACACCTACAAGAACAAGTCGCCGTACACGACCAAGGTCGTGAGCTGCAAGCGCATTGTCGGCCCCGAGGCGACCGGCGAAACGTGCCACATCATCTTCGACCACCAGGGCAAGATGCCCTACTGGGAGGGCCAGTCCTTCGGCGTCATCGCCGACGGCACGAACCCGAAGAACGGCAAGCCCCACACGGTGCGCCTCTACTCCATCGCCGCGTCCCGCTACGGCGACGACATGACGGGCCAGACGACGTCGCTCTGCGTGCGCCGCGCGACCTACTGGGACCCGGAGATGGGCAAGGACGACCCGGCGAAGAAGGGCGTGTGCTCCAACTTCATCTGCGACTCCAAGCCCGGCGACCCGATCAAGATGACGGGCCCCTCGGGCAAGGTCATGCTCATGCCCGAGGAGAAGGCGGACACGGACTACATCATGGTCGCCACGGGCACGGGCATCGCGCCCTACCGGTCCTTCATCCGCCGCCTCTTCACGGAGACGACGCCCGCCGGCGAGGCCTACAAGGGCACGGCCTGGCTCTTCCTCGGCGTCGCCAACAGCGACGCGCTCCTCTACGACGAGGAGTGGCAGGCGACGCTCGCCAAGTACCCGGACAACTTCAAGCTCGACTACGCGCTCAGCCGCGAGCAGACCAACACCAAGGGCGGCAAGATGTACATCCAGGACAAGGTCGAGGAGTACGCCGACGAGATCTTCGACCGCCTCGGCAAGGGCGCCGTCATGTACTTCTGCGGCCTCAAGGGCATGATGCCCGGCATCCAGGACATGCTCAAGGGCGTCTGCGACAAGAAGGGCCTCGACTACGACGAGTACATCAAGGGCCTCAAGAAGGCGGGCCAGTGGCGCGTCGAGGTCTACTAGGCGCCGTCTCGCCGCCCGCGGGGACCGACACCACCACCGACGCCGCGCTCGCGCTCACAAGTCCGACCCCCACTGACGTCGCGCGCGCTCCCCTCCTAACACATCTTCGTTATGTAATGCGACCTTGATCGCGGCCCGGCGGCCGTGGACGCGGTCAGCCCCCGATACCGATGTCGATCGACTCGGACGCGGGCTGGGCGGCGCCGGACCCGGCCAGCCTCGAGCCGCCCGAGCACCCACTCGCTCGGCCGCCCCCCCCAGCACAACTACAGTTCTTAGCCCGCCTTCTTCTTCTTCTTGCTCGGCGTCGCGTCGCGCGTCTCGCCGGCGAAGAACGCGCGCGCGACCTCGGCGGACGCGGCCGGCTTCGGCCGCTTCGCCGGCGACTTGCGCTTCTTCGACGCCGACGCCGAGATGTCCCGGAGCTCGCCGCTGAAGAAAGCCTGGCACGCGGGCGACATGGGCGCGGCGGCCCGCGGCGACGCCGGCGACGAGGGCGGCGGCGCTCGAGGCCGCGCGGCGGCGGGCTCCGGCTCGACCGAGCGCGCGCCGGGCTCCGGCTTCGCCGCGGGCGGCGCCGGCGCCGGCGCGGCGGCCGGCGGCGCGCCCCGCCGCTCCTGTCGCGCGTCGACGTACGCGTCGAGGCCGATGTCGTCGCCGCCGTCCGGCTCCCGCTTCGCCGCGCCGTCTGGCTCCCGCTTCGCCGCGGGCTCCGGCTCCCGCTTCGCCGCGCCGTCCGGCTCCGGCTTCGCCGCGGGCTCCGGCTCCCGCTTCGCCGGTGGGCTCCGGGCCGGGCCCTTGGCCGGGCTCTTGGAGAAGAAGTCGTCGATGCGCTTCTGGGGCTTGGCCTCGCGGCACTTGCGGAGCCGCGCGACCATCTTGTCGACGCGGTCGCCGTTGAACTCGTGGCCGTCGACGAGGAACGCGCGGAGCGCCGCGTAGTCCGGCGGCGGCGCGTCGACGGTCTCGCCGGCGGCGACGACGGTCGGCGCGAAGAAGAGCGCGCGCGCGGCGCGGAAGTCCCAGCCGTGCGGCGCGACGGGCCGCCCGCCGACCTTGCGGCCGACGCGCTTCGCCGCCTTGGGCGCGGGCGCGGCCTCGTCGCCGTCGCCGCCGTCGTCCGCCGTCGACGACGTGGCGAGCGGCGCGGCCGGCGCGGCCGGCGCGGCCTCGTCGGCGACGACGACGGCGCGCTCGAGGCTTGCGTGGCTCTTCAGAAGCTTCGCGGCCGTCGCGGGCCCGACGCCCGGCACGTGGTCGAGGTAGTCGCAGCCGCACAAAATGCAGAAGTCGACGAACGCCGCCATGGTCCCCAGGCCCCGGGGCCCGAGCTCGCGGAGCGCCGCGGCGAGGTCGATCTCGTACGCGGGCCGCTTCTCCTTGGCGCGCGCGCCCTCGACGTCGAAGAGGTTCTTCACCATCTTCGCCGCGCCGAAGGTCAGCGCGTCCATGTCCTCCGTGACGACGAAGTCGCAGGCGCCGTGCCTAACAAGAGCGACGCACGACGCCTCGGCCTCGCCGGGCGCCTCGACGACGGGCACGCCCATCAGGCGGAGCAGCCGCTTGACGTCGTCGTTGTGCTGCCGCGTCACGCGCGTCGACGCCGACGCCGCCTTGTAGACCTCCTCCGTCGTCGCGCCGGAGTCGGCGTCGCGCGCCCGGGCCAGCTTCTCCTCGGCGGCGCGCTTCGCCTCGCTCCGGCCCTTGAGCGTCTTCCCTTTCAGCTCGGGCGCCGCGCCGTCGAAGACGAAGACGGGCTTCGCGCCGGCCTCGAGCATGCGCAGCGTGCGGTTCGCGAAGCCCTGGAGGTGGCTCGTCGCCTCGCCGCGCGAGTTCGTGAGGTGCGTCGCGTCGCCGCCCGTGCGGATGGCCGCGAGGAACGAGTAGAGGTGCATGGACGCGTCGACGGCGAGGCGCCGGCCCATGTAGTCCTTCAATGAGGTCTCGACGATGGCGCCCGGCGCATTGTCCCGGATGTAGGGGAAGAGGCCTTTTATGCCCATCAGTGATCTGGCCGAAGCCCTATCGCATCGACTTCGGCCTCTTCAGCCGGACTGCACCGTCGGCCCGGCGAACATGCCGCGCGCGTTGCCGACGCGCTCCGGGACGAGTAGATAGAAGAGAGATGCTTCGTTGCTTCTAGGATGGTGCGCTACACCAGGTGGCGGTCTTCGGGGGGGGAGGGGTCGGCGCCTACGGCTTGTCCGCGAGCGCCGAGAGGAGGGCGACGCCGTCGGCGAGGGCCGCGGAGTCCTCCGAGTCGGACGTGTCCGTGTTGTTGATGGACACCGACCCGTCCTTCTTGACGTGGATCTTCGTCGACTTGAACGCGGAGGTCAGGTCCTTCGACAGGGCGCCGGCGGCGAGCTGCGAGTGGCATCCGGGGAGGCGCAGGGCGCGGCGATCTCCGCGGCGTGGCGCTGTGCCATGTGGAGCCTTCCTCATAATGAGAAGAAGGTACGGTTGGCAGAATGGCCACCTCCAGTTTCTCATTGATCCAGAATACGTGCGACCTGTCCTTGAGTTGAGGGCCGTGGACAAGATGTGGATGGATGGGGCCTTAACTGGAGCAGGTCACCGGTCACGGTAGAACTGGAGCAGGACCGGGTGCAACTGGAGCAGGTAGAACTGGAGCAGGTAGGACTGGAGCTGCAGGTAGAGCAGCACCTGGAGAAGGCGCTCCGGTCGTCTGCAGCGGCGCCGCTCAAGGGCACAGACCTGGAGCTGCTCAGCTGCAGCTGGAACCTGGAGCACCCGACCGCGACCGGCGCAAAAACGCTCTCCAAAGCTTCAAAATCCTGCGGCTGCAGCGCGCGCCCAATGGCCGCGGCCTTCGCCTTCTCCCCCACCTTCGACGGCGACAACGGCAACCCGAAGAAGCGGCTGAAGCTGCTCGAGGCCGACGAGGCGCTCGTCGCGGCGCTCGAGGCCGGCGAGAAGGTGCGCTTCGTCGGCAACTCGTCGACGCCGGACGTCGTGCTCTGCACGGCGCGCGAGACCTTCAAGGTCACCAAGGTCGAGTCGAGCAACACGACGATCCTCTGCGCCGGCGGCGCCGGCGGCGGCGCGCCCGTCGTCGCCCGCGGGCTCGCGGACTTCCACTGGGAGGCGCGGAAGGCGGCGCCGCGCCTCGACCTCGCGGCGCTCCTGCCGGCCTACGGCGGCGACGGCGCCGAAGACGCCGCGCCGACGCGCGCGGACCTCGAGTCGACGGCCCAGGCGTCGGCGGCGGAGCTCGACGGCGCGCTCGCGTCGGGCGCGGTCCTCGTCGACGGCTCCGGCCGCCACTTCCACCTCGACGAGGCGCGGCTCCACAAGTGCCTCGACGAGGTGCTCACGGCCGTGTCCCTCCAGGGCTGGCCCGCCGCCGACGTCCCCGCCAAGGCCTGCGCGGCCGACGCCGCGACGCACGGCGCCGACGGCGCCGTCGCCGCGCACTGCCTCCGCCACTTCTCGACGCCCGCCGCGACGCCGGGCCACGTCGCCCTCGACGTGCGCAAGATCGCGCGCTCCGTCGCCGCGTCCCTCTTCGTCGCCACGCCGTCCTACGCCGCCGCGGCCGACCTCCTCTCGGACCTCAAGGACTGCCTCCCCGCGGACGCGCAGCCCGACCTCTCCTGGCTCGACGGCGTCGTCGCCGTCGCCGACGACGGCGCCGTGACCCTCGCGGACGCGCAGGACGCGTGAGGGGTCGCGTAAGAGGTGCGAAGCGTCGGGGCCGCGGCGCTTCGGCGGCGGTTTCGCGGCGCGTTTTCGGCGGCGGTGTCGCGGCGCGTTCGGCGTCTAGAGGCGCGAGACCGCGCTGCTGCGCGTGGTTTCGTGTGTGCCTTTAACAAACACTGTGAAACACCGGATTTTTTCAGGAGCTGCGCGCGCGGGGAAGATGACCGAGTTTGAAGGGGCACCCCAGTTCGGGAAGTACGGGCTCGCGCCGAACTTAAAGGATCGCCAATAAAGGGGCGCCGACGACGGCGGGAAACATGCGAAGTTGAGGTTTCATGTTCCGGAA